CACCAAGAATCAGAATCAAATCATGAATTTGCCAGAGGCCCACCCATGTACATGTACATGGAGCCTATTCAGTGTAAATTCTTCAAGCTCAGAACAACAAAGTACAGTAGCTGGATAATTAACAGAATAAGACAGCATGACAAATGCTTATACTTGTTTCTAGCGAATATGCCAAAATACTGCAAAACATCTCTGAGTCTGCTTCCCTGGATGGAGTAACATCAAAACTGAAACACCATGTGTCTTCTACAGCTTCACATACAGACAGCCTTGAACCAGACAGCTAGCTGTAGGCCTGCTATTTAAAGGATGGGTGATTAAGAAGCAAACCAGGTCTGACCTTTGATTGTGGGTGCTGACTAACACTATGGGCATTTTGTTAGTTGAAGCATAAGGTCTGGCAGGGTTGGAATATTCTGGGGAATTTATAATGTTTGGTTTAGTCATAAATGCATCCTTTTTATGCTGACCTTATCATAAAATAAAGTGAAGCATGAGAGTATATGATGCTCAGCTAATAATTTGCACCTCATTGCACGTTAATCATTCAAATAACACTGGTCACTGATGAAACTTGCACAAGCTTACAGCGGGCAAATTAAGAGTTCAGTCATCCATCCTGTAATAAAGGCAGTCAGGATAAGGCAAGGGCACTGTTTTGTATACAGCTGCACGCAAATGCCACAGCTGTTTAGTTTAAAGTTGCAGCATTAACTAATCAGTGTCTGCCCTGTTCGATCTCACACTAACTGGTGAAACACCGAAGCAAAGAGGAGCATGCCCTGAGAGCACAGCACAAATTATTTAACTGCAACACAGTCTATGACATGTGAGGGCAAACCACAAATGCTAGAGGAAAACTCAGTAGCATAGAATTCGCATGAAAATCGATTTGCACTTGTTGATTGTCAAGCCACGTGACAAACCTGCGCCCTGTCATACAGATCAACTAGTTTGATGATCAAGGATCATTCATATCTAGAAGAATTTATTAGCCGCCTTGAGAAACAGACGATGGACGGACGAGAAAACACCGCAACAGCTGTGAGCCAAGTAACATCAGAGCACGCAGGAAAGCCAAATGACACTAGGCTCACACACACACACTTAGTTCATTCTGGACACAGTGTCTCACATACCAAACAGCTAGCTAACGATAGCTGTTGAGGCGCTATGATAGATCATTTTATGCACCTAATGCCAGGAAAACACACACACACACCTCTCCCTGGCCCGGGAGAGGGCACCGACAATGCGCAGCTAAACTTAGCTGGCTACCAAAACTGGCTAGCTAGCTGTCAAAGTTGCCCTGTCAGTTGTCACCGGTTACACGGCGGAGCTAGCAGGCTAACGTAAGAGCTGTCAACTTGGAGAGTTACAACAGTACGGCTTGAATGTACTAACACTGACCACAGGCAAGCACTGACTGGCTCCCTGTGAAAAAGATGTCCCCGCAAGCCACGCCACAGCGAGCGGAAAGCTGTGTGTCAGGGCCTGATCACTGGGCTCAATCCCCACAACTTCAGTGTAGCTCACTTCCACGTTAAAGTCGTCCATTTCGTGGGCCTTAGTTCAACTTCCATGCCCGTGTAGCTCACTTACTCTGGGTGAAAGCTGCTGTGACGGTGGCTCTCCGTAATCCTCACGGTACTTTCAGAGTAACTGCCCCCTCCCCTTCCTTCCACCTCCTCTTCTTCAGCTAGCGGGAGCCCCCCAAGAGTGTGCTGTGCTCTTGACGTTATCGTCCTGTGCAAAGAGTCGCTGTAGCTGTAGCTTCACCGGTGTACCCACGATTCCGTGGCGTCCTTCCTCAGCCTCTCTCCGCCTTCTCCCGTTCGCCTTTCTCTCGGTAGTCAAGCCAACATCCGGGACTCTCCCCAGTTTGGGTTAAGTGTCCGGAACTACTTTTACATACGACGACGCACATGGAGGCTGTTTTCTCCCTCACCATCCCTGCCGCCACAGAAACTAGCGCGCGGTCAAACGCGCAAGCATGCAGTGAATACAGTCGTGGTTGTACCCACACATGAACTTATCAATCACTTGATCAATATATTTAGCAATTTTAGGAGAGCACTCCGGGTGAATAAAAGTCAGCGTGCCTTCCAACATTAGACATACCATAAAAACAACTGAAACAACAATAAAAAATGTCAATGTCATACAGTAAAAGAAAAATAGCGAACAATAATCAACATGGGAATCATCACTGTCTGATGTCACTTTATGTTTTTATTTTTGTTGTATGTGTTTTATCAATGTTTTATTTTTATTTAGCCTTAACTGAATTTATTTTGGTATGAATGCTTGTTGTTTTTGGCGATGTTTCCATTTGCTTATGTAAAGCACGCTGAATTGCCTTTGGCTATGAAACGTGCTAGGCTATATAGGCTAAATAACTTACCTTGCCTTGTCTTATATAGTATTTGTAGTGATGCAGGAAGTATTCAGAACCTTTACTTACTGAAAAGTAAGGTACTTACCACACTGTAAAAATATATTTTGACCTAAAAATGATATCATCAGATTAGACTGTTTTTCTGATTAATCGATTTGCTTGACAGATTTTTGTAAACATCTTTGAAAATAGCGAGACATGCATGCTAGCCTACAATTACTCAAATTCAGTGATATTTTCACCGTTCCTTGTTTTGTTCAGCCAGTAGTTGAAACTTCAGTATATATATGCACATATATCTTTAATCTGCTAAAATAATTAAAAGTAAAAGCAGCAGAATTTGAAATGCTGAAACCTTGAAATGTTTAGCATTTTTGCATGAAACATACTCAAACTCAAACAATTATCAAAATAGTTTCCAATTCATTTTTTTGCCAATCAACTATTTATCATTTATATTGATTACTAACTATAACAGGTCGAAAACTGGATCAGCATCAAGGGTAGTCTGTCAAAAGTTTAATCATTATTTTTAAGAGTGTTATTGTTTTAGTTTTGGTTTGTATCATTTCTATTTGCAATCATACAAATAAATAATAATATAAGGAATAGATATGGAATTCACACTAATAAGCCTTTAAGTCTGCAGTTAGGTTAATAACTTCTTGAAAGTTATCCAGTTGAGGGCATCTACGATCAATTAAAAAGCTAAAATGACTTAAATAACTTGCGTGAAATACTGAGATCATGCATTGTTTTTTTCCTGACCTAAAACCAGTCCCACATAGTGCTGAATGTTTGCAATGCCATTTAAAATCTTATGTCTAGCTTTTCATTATACAATGTGAACTACACTTAATGTTACTTAAAATTACCAAGGACATGACTTCAGTGTTGTCTAACACTTAGTCCAGTGAGTTCATAATCACCTAACTGTCTTAACTTTCTATTTTTTCCTGTTTTAACTTACCTACAGTTATTATGTGGTAAATAATCATGTTTTATTATTAATATGATATAGAGAATAAAAAGTTACCCTATTGTTTTATGACTTTATGCCAAAGTGTTGACACATGATGGTATTTAGGTCTTAAAGAATCATATTTTGGTTTTACTAATAAGGTCCTTTCCCTCCACTCAAAGGGCTCAAAGTTCAGTGTGTAGGCCTGTAATATAGGCAACTGTAAAAATACCACTGTCTCTGCAAAACAGTGAAAAAAGTTCCTTAAAGTTCACACATATCTTATATATATTGATAGCATATTTATATAAACTTATCTGACATTTTCCATCAATTGCAAACAGCCTGACTGATTCTTGAATGGACACAGGATGCCAGTTTATTAAAATCTGAACTGAGTCTTAGATTATCTGTTTAACTGGTGGTGTCTAATTGAAGATGAGCCTTTTTTTTTAAGTAAACATACAAAGCAACAAAATGCTTAGACACTGACTAGGTTCAACAACACAAACAAATATCTATCACATAAAGCAGTTGAAGTGCTATGAGTTAACCCGAAGTGCAACATCGCCTCCCATGGGTTGATCACAGGAACTGATAAAATGATAAATTGTTCATGTTAAATCAAAACACTTACAGCAATACTGATTGGCGTTGTCATTGTGTTTAAAGTAACACTTTAGATTGAACCACGGAATTAGAGTTTATCAATAAATCTAATTGTCTGAGCCACTAATATAAACAGGTTTATAAAATCTGTCAGAAGGTTATTTAGGCTAAACCACATTTTTCAGTCAACTCCTGTACTGGTTTTCACATTCATTGCAGTTTTGTTTGTGTTGTTTTTTGTTTTTAGTCGATGTGAAATTTAATTATATAATTCGTATCAAAAATATTATTAAATTAACAGATTAATAAATAAATCAAAAGCAAAGTGACAAATTTGTAATTAATATGGTTTTAGCGGCCTGGTGAGGCACATTAATAGCAGCAGTCTAATTTGTTTTGTTTTTTTTTCAAGTAAATATTTTGCAAATGAAACTTAGGAGGTCTTTAATTATTTCACATTTAAAAGGACCATTTCTTACTACACATGCAAAGTCTAGAAATTTTAAAGTTATTCAGTCTCCCATTGTATTTCAGTTTTGTATCTGTGAATTTCATGAATCTTGATAGGGTCCCCAGCATTTTTATTTTGAAAACTGAAAATTGTCACTTCAAAAAATATGTAGAATAAATCCAACCAATAATGACCAGTAAGTGGGCACCAGCACTTTTGAGAAAGTGGGCTTTGGATTTATGCCATTCCAACTTTTGAAAAACTATTTATATAAAAATTAAGACAAGATGGAAGAGCAGCATCAAACATTTCAAGATGTTTCTTTGCCATGACAGCTGCTGAGTCAGTGGGACAGTCCAGTGCAAAAGATTCCCGTTTAGAGAAAGTCCCCTGTATACTGTCTGACGATGCGAATGTTTCATAATGTTTCACACATCATATGAAAGTGAGAAAACAATTGATGCACTACTGCCTCAACCTGACGTCAAAATCCCACGTGCGTTTATGGTAGTACCATTTACGGCCACCGAGGCGCTGACGGCTTTCTCTAAACACACAAACACAAGCAAGCTCATCAGCTACAGGCGTTGGGTACAGGCCACCTCTTTCGACCCTCGGTGTGTTTCGTAGCATGCCGTTTTACGCATGGTGAGGAACGTGTGCGCCTAGAAATGAAGGCCAGAGTTTGCTCGCGGGAAATTTAAACGGCCCTCGGAAAGTTGCACAGCTGTCGTTTTTTGTTTGGCATAATCTGACGTGATTGGATCGGAATGGCAAGTGGGCTAGTAGTCGTGGTGGATGGTGGGATGACGAAGAAACCGGTGCAGAATGGACAAGGACTGTAAATAACAGGAGAGGAGGAAGGAAGGATATAAGGGGGGCAGCCAGATGATACTGTTAGGAAAATGTAGCCTACATTTGAAGAAGGCGGAGAAGGGCAAGAAGTCAGGAAAAAAAGCAATAATGGAAAAATTTAAATTGTAAAGAGGGAAACGAGATCACATCTGTTATACCCGCATTGACAAGTGGAGTGAAAAGGGGTAGTGGGGATAAATGACTGGTCTTGCGTGATGGTAGTTTATTGGTGAAATGCAAAATAGCTGAGCTGAAAAACTAAACGCTAAAACTACAGGCAATCTATAAAAAGAAATATCTATATAATAAGAAAGAAGGAGTAAAGTGGTTTTACCAAGTTTAGGCCTATAAGATATTGGACGAGGGTGCTTTTTTTAAATTTGTTTTTTAGAAAAGACGGAACTTGGTGAAAGAGAACAGTATGTCATAAAACCCATTCTGATCTAGACTCCAATTCAGTAGGTGGCGGTAATGCACAAGTTGGCAAAGTTGTTTGCCAACGGCTATAAAAAGAGAAGAAGAAGAATCTGATTCGGGAAGTGCAGAAGTGGCTGATACGCTGTTCTTGGTGGAGAACCACTTCGCACTTTGAGGTAGGGTATTTTGCGGTTTTATCTTAATAAAAGAAGTATAGCACTTAAAAAAAGAAGAAACCAGGTTACTTTGACATTGGCAAATTGTTGTCAAACGGCAGGTGGTATGAGTACAGAGAGAAGATTAACCTATTTAAATTGCGGATAAATACAGAAAATGTCTGCTGTCAGTTGCCAAAAAAATGGGTCTTGATCACGCGAAATGTTAAGATCAAGGTTCATATGTGAAGTTCGTGCATACTGTGAAGTTAAGTTAGGTTTCAGGAAAGGGGTGTTAACATGTTCTTGTAAGGATTAGCAGGATGCAGACTATCTGTCGCTTTCCCTTTCACTTTCTGCAGAGAAATTACAGCACCTTTTAATGAATAGTCGGCATTGAAACTTAGTATTTCATATAACACTTTACATACCATTTCAGTTGTTTTATGTCTTTTCCATAAAACATGATTTATCCGCAGCAAATAATCCACTTTCAGTGATAACGAAGCAAATATTGATTTTCCAGGGCCATTGCCTCCATGTTGTTAAAGTTCAATGTATGTTCCAGTCATCTTGTGTAATTTCAATATTAAGCTACTCTTCAGTTTTCTCTTTTATATATTTAAAGTTCTCTCATTAACAGAATGCCAAAATTATACTCATGTTGTTCTCCAGCCGCTCTGATTATGATTTGCGTTACATTATCCACTTCCCCTGAAGAATCTGCTTGGACTTCTTTTCTGTAGTTGAAGATATCTGTAAAATTCCTGTGTCCATAATTTCTCTAAGATTTCAAAACTCTCCAGGTCCTCCTTTTTCTAAGACACACCATGTTGGCATTACTTTTGCTATAAGCCTTGGTCATATGAGCTGATTTGAAGTCATTATTATAAGCTTTCCAACCAACCAGTCAATTAAAAAAAAATCCTTTCATATTAATATATGTGCATCTTTCCAAATCTTATACTACTTGATGTTTAAACCTGAAATCTAATATATTGGATGAGTAGACCTACCTCATTTTATTGTTGTGTTTCAGATTATAAACTGACTTTGAGGGACCTCTGCAGGTAGAGATTGGAACATGTAAAGAAAACTGATCACTGATTAAAACTGGTCTCATTTATTGAGTTAGTGCTAAGGTTGACCATCTTTTCCACTATGTTTGTATCTCTTAATTGATTTTTAACCTTATGCAGTTCAGAGAGTTTTAGTGATCTTCACGACTGAATATTTACATTTTTTAAAATTTCATTTCACAGGATTCCTGGATTACTTTGTGATGGTGTATGACTGAGCACTAAAATCTAGGATTTAGAAATATCCTAAGACATTTCTAGGAGCTTCACCATTGTAAGAAGCATTGCATTTGCATGTTCAAGGAAGGCAGTTATGTCATAAGCAAAAAGTTAATTTTATGCTCTACTCCTTTTATTGTGACCCCCTGTAGTTCTTCAGTTTTCCAGACTGCTTGAGCTGAAGGCTCAGTAAAAATAGCAAAGACTCCTGGTGTTAAGTAACATCCTTGTCCGATAGATTTCTGCCGCCACGTTTTTACTCATCAGATTTTCATTTAATTTGGTTCTAGCTGAGTACCCTCAATATGTTACATCTTTTTGATATGAAATGTATAATCTAGGGTTTAGTATTACAATTGGTCAGTGTACCCACAGCTGCTTTAATGAGTTTACTGATTTGTTGTTTCTTCTTGGTTGTTCATTCTCTGGTATTACTGCTCAGATCAGATCTTGTATACAGTTTGGTGTAAAAGTTTACATCCCCATACTTTGAAATGGCAAAAGGAGTAAAACAAAGACTTTTTTCCCTCATTAACATAATATTTAATGCACATTCAGCTAGTACAAATGCTCTGTTGATTCTTCATCAACAGAAGTAACAAAAATGACCAGGGAGTGTATAAAAAGAAAATTATAGTTTTATAATGAGGTTTTCAGTGATACTGTAACTGAAAGAGGTGATAGGAAACTTTCTGTAGAATCCAAAACAAACAGCAGGGGACGTGACCAAGTCCTTAGAGGCAACTGGAATACAAGTCTACATCTCCACAGTCAAGCATAGTCTGTGGAAGTCTGGATTATTTGGGAGAAAAGCACACAGGAAGCCACTGATTACTTCTAGATGTAAGGCAGCATGCTTGGAGTATGCCAAGGAGCAAGATTATGTGGTCTAATGAGACCGAAGTTTAATTATTTGGTCATAAATTGCACAGGTATGTGTGGTGAGGAAAAAACTCTGCCTATGATGAGAGGAACCCTATTCCACCAGTCAAACATGGTGGAGGCACTCTGATGTTTTAGGGGTGTATATCTGCATCAGACACCGGGGCTCTGCATAAAGGGGAAGGAAGAATGAATGCAGCCCAATGTCAGATTTTAAAGCAAAGCTTCCTACCATCAGTTAGAAAGCTAAAAATGAAGAGGCAGTGGACCTTTCAACAAGACAATGATCCAAAGCAGATAGCAGTCAACTCAGGAATGGTTTAAAAAGAATAAGGTGAACATTTTACCATGGCCTTCCTAGTCTCCAGACTTAAATATGATTGAAATTCTGCGGACCGATTTGAAGAAGGCTGTACATAGCAGACAACCAAACAATCTGGAGGACTTGAAGAATGGGCAAAAATTAGACCTGAAAGGATACAAACGCTGCTCAGAAGGTGCACAGAGGAGGAGCTATAACTGAAGATGCACAAGTGCATCCTCTGTGAAAAGTCTGTTATGGATTGACACAGCCCTCTATCAGAAATCAGTTTGTCATTGGACTTTTATCATGAATGATTGTAGAAAAGGACAGTTCATGCTAGTTAAACGTTTCCTCAGTTCCAGTCTCCTCGCATTTTACATGGGCAACAATAAGACACAAAGAAAAGATGCAAGTGAGGGAATCATGGATCCAATTAGAGGAACTGGGTTTCACCTATGACTGTTACCGTCCATTCATTATTGTGCTATTTAACATCTTCTTTCCCTTTCCTCTATCTCTCGTCAGATAATGGCTGAACCCAGAATATCCTCCATTGATGGGAAGTTAGCTGAAGAATTTGCTGTTCCCTCCCATGTTGAGGAGGTCAAGGAGAAGATGTCTGCATTTGCCATGGATCATGTAGCGGCAGGTCGTAGGGTGGTTCTCATCACATCAGGAGGCACCAAAGTGCCTTTAGAGTCCCGCACTGTTCGCTTTCTTGATAACTTCAGCAGTGGCAGACGAGGAGCTGCCTCAGCGGAGTATTTCATAGACTCTGGCTATGCTGTCATCTTCTTACACAGGCACCGCTCCCTCTACCCCTACACTCGTACATTCTCAACCATAAACATGCTGGATGCCCTGCAGCTCAGAAGTGGAGAAGCGGCATCTGAAGTGGTGGTTAACCAGCAAGTGCTTCCGAACATTGCCCAAGTACTGACGCGATACCAGGAAGTGAAAGACAGTAGACTCCTCCTGCCCATTGAGTTCAACACTCTGTCTGAATATTTGCATCTACTCAAAGCAGCGGCACAGGCTCTCAGCACAATAGGTACAGATTAACAGTTTACAGGTTGAAGTTGTGCCTCTTATTTTGCACATTGTTCATAAATTGTCCTCCGTTTATTCTGCACTTAGGATCCAAGGCTATGTTTTACTTGGCTGCAGCTGTGTCCGATTTCTACATCCCAGCATCTGAGATGCCTGAACACAAAATCCAGTCTTCCAATGGACCTCTTCAAGTGAGTGACAAAAAATAAAAATTCTAGCAAATGTAAGATTTCATGTAAGATGTAATTTAAAAAAATATTTATTTATTTAGCCATGCTATCAGCATAACTCTAGGTAATGTGGAGAGTAATGTCAACCTGTGGATCAGTCCATTAATTGGGTCTAGATTAAAATATGTTAACTACTGAATGGATTACTATGAAATTTGGTCCAGATGTTCATTGTCCACAGGGAAGGAATGGCCCTTACATCAGTGCTATAATTTTTCCAATAGCACCATCGTTGGGTTGAAATTTTAGTGACATCTGAAATACTACTGGATGGATTGCTGACGGATTAGTCGACTAATTTTTAGTCATGTACGATCCTAGATTGCACTGGAATTTGAATCACATTTGTCCCTCTCATGAACTGTTATCACATTGACAATCCCTTAACCTTGATTTAGTGCCATTACCAGGTCCTGATTGTAATTTATCCAATATTTTTATGACTATACCTGCAAATTTAGAAAATGTTAGCGCACTAACACTAGACAAAGATGACCGGCTTAGCATCAGCATATTAGTATACTGTCAACTCTGAGCTCTCCTGTCCCTCAAAGTGCTGCTACCATGGCTGTAGATATGTGTTGTTAAGGACAATATACTACTTTTTTCAGCTCAGCTTGAACATGGTCCCCAAGATCCTGTCTCCACTGGTGAAGGACTGGGCACCTCAGGCATTTGTTATATCTTTTAAGCTGGAGACAGATGCAACCATCCTGCTGGAGAAGGCTCGACGGGCTCTGGACACCTACAGACATCAGGTGGTGGTGGCCAATGTACTGGACTCTAGACGGGGTTATGTGGTAGTGGTGACCGCTGAGACTCAGGCTGAGCTACTCCTCACAGAGGAGGATGTGAAGAATGAGGTGGAGATAGAGGAGAGGATAGTGAGCAACCTGACAACAGCACACAACAAGTTCATAACTCAGCAAGTGGGTGGACAGTAATCATCTGCATGTCTGAGTCAGTAATGCAGATTTAAGTGATCTCGAGGTTCAGTTTGACTTAAACTCTTGCCTGATCTGCTGACAAGTTACTGTATAGTCTATATCGTATGGTTCATTAACTTTAGTAAGAACTGTAACTCTAAACACAATGCCTTTTTTTTTTTTTTTACCTGTTCTGAAATGGGCCTTAACAGGTAGACTGAGTGCACTAAAAGATAACCCCAACTCGAAGAGCTGCATTGTGACCAGTCAGTGTGAGCAGCTATATTTACATTTCCAGTCTGGTTAGCCATTGCCACTAACATATCCTACTCTATGTTAGCACCAGTGTGTTGACATGGATAGACTGAAAACACCGTTTAGCACCTAATAGCCTAACTAACAAAAACGCCTGGCCTGTTGCTATGATGCGTTTGGAACGGCGGCCCCATTTGGAGAGCGAATATCAGTGAATGCTTATGCTAATGTCCTAAACAAGTCTTCTTCCTGTTAGTATCCACATTCTGACAATCCCCCATACATGAATGGAGAGGGCTGCATTTTTTTCACACCTTTGAAACTCAGTCTGAATGCAGCCTTAAAGGTTATAATGGTGTGTCTGTATAGGAACAATGTACAATATAATGACTGTTGTTTTTGTTAAAATGTTTATTTTCATTGTGCAATAATTCAGAATCCAGAAATGACTGAATAATTCTGTGATACGCTTATCTCTAGTAAACATTTATAACAGTCCACTTGTACTTTTTTTTTTTAGTTCCAGGGCTACAACTGGTAGCAATGTTTTGGATTCCCTCTTGGTTACGCAAGTTTAGTACTCTTCTTGACACCAGCACGAATACCAGACAACTCTCCTCTGTATCGTGTCTCCTCCCGACGAACCTCACGGACCTGGTGAAAATGAAAAACAGTCTCGATATTAATGTTGTGAAGGTGTCTGACAAACATATGCTCCTCATTCAAACTGGTAAACCGCCTACAGCTTTAGGCTGTACCTCAGCATTGTAATAAAATGATCTTATCACTGTGCGGATTACAAACCTGGCCCTTTCTGCGAATCTTGGCCCGTATAAACTTCTGTCTGTTCTTGACTCTGGGATTGCGGTCAATTTTCTTCCTCTTTGGTGTGAGCCCCTTGTTCTTGGCCATCTATGGAAGTGGTAAGACACACAGAATAGCTGTTCAGAAGTGACATGGACTGTGTGATGAGAGTACAGTATAAGAAGCACCAGAGTCTCCCTAGAGAATAATGAATGTTTAAACAAAGCAGTGAGGGAAATACCTTTTGGGGAGGCTTAGGCTGAATTCCAATTCACCTCCTTGCCCCACCACTTTGCCCTACCCCTCTATCCTAACATGGAGGGGTAGGGCAAAGAGGTGGGGTTACATAGCCCTTGAACCAGAGGTTTTTCAGAGGTAGACTCAAAACTGACTTGTATTTTAACTGATGCTTAAAGACCTCGCAAGCGAAATCACCACTGTGATTCAACATTTCTGACAACTCTTTGCATCTGTTTACTTAACGGTCATCATTAACTGCCAATGGCTGAGGTCTTGAAAGGTTGTCCCATTTCATAGGGGAAGATTTCAGCTACTACTCCTTGTAACATCATTTTGAGGGTTAACTTAAAAACAAGAGAGCACTCAAACCAGTGTTAGGAGGAAAAATTAGAAATGGGATTGGGCCCAAATAGGATGTTCAGGTAGCTTCCAAGTACAGTGCAGACAGCAGCCAATACTGACATTTAATTGTTTAAGTTGGAGTAATGCAGTACCTGGTAAGTGATTCCTCTCTTGGCATCTGGATCCAGCTCTTCTTCCTCATCTTCATTCTCCTTAAACCTGCAAAGAACAGTTTATCAGATCTCTAGTGGATTTTGTCCCACCTGTCATTCAAAGACTCGAGTCGCACTTACTCTTCAGCTTCGGGGGCATTACGCGTTCTTTTCAATTTCAACCGCTCCTCCATGTCTCTATAGAAACGCAAAGCCGCCTCCTCGTCCAGGTCAGAGTCTGAGTCCTCCTCGACCTCTGGCAGAGTTTCTTCAGAATCCTGCAATCAACATGCATTCATGCTCCATATTAAACGTCGGCAACAGATTCAAACTGAGAATGAGGAGGCTCCCTGAAAAAGAAAAAAAACAAAACAAACAAAGATCCCACCTTTTTCATCTTATTGGAGACTCTTGTCTTCTTTCCCTCTGCAAGCTTGCTGGTGGCCTTAGCTTTCTCCTCACCAGCTAGTAGCCTGCGAAACTCTGGTGCAAGCCGAGCATCCACTGCGCCAAGATCATTGATGAGCTGTAGGCAGATGTTAAAGAGTCAGTAAAAGTAATTAGATGTGGATATGTGCATGGAGGAGACATTTTCATGGTCCCATGTGACGTCCCAGTTCAAATTGTTCAACTGTCCAACTACCATGACAGCAGTATCGAAAACTGACACACTAAAGGATCCTGTCTGAAACTAGAAAGAATATGTACAGTTTTCTTGACTGAAAAGTACAGTTGCTGGTGCTCATGTTAGTGTGTGTACTCACATTTCTGTAGGTGAGCAGTCTTTCAATCACAGGATGGTTATGAGCAGGGATTCGTTTCGCTTTCAGCACCAAATAAAAACTAATGTTTGTGCAGTAACTGTGGAGGGAAACAGTAGTTATTTAATAAAGGACAGTGGCATGTACTTGCAATATTAAGTTACAAAGTACAACTTACTTGAGATAAAGTTGCTGTTTTGTCTTGAGGTAGTCAGCACCCTTTGGAAAACAGGACCAAAGTTATTTAGATTCACAAAATGTATTGCCACAACTGAAAATATGTATCTGCATGTAATCATGGTCACCACTGGTTTCAATGAATATTTAATGCCTGTTTCTACAGTAAAATAAGGACAACGGCTCAAACAGCTTGATGTGAAGTGACTGAAATGTTTATATCTGCTTTTTAAGTCTCTACACTGTTCACCAACTGGAAGAGGAAGAAAAAAAAACAGCCATATAATACTGACTGAAGTCCATATAAATTCAGTAGTGGCTGAGTAAAAATGTTAAACACCAAACAATCTCTCAGGTGTCTGTCTTTTGTACAAGTGAGAATGCAATCATAGAAGGAAAAAAAGATTCTCCTGAATGCACTCACTCTTCCCGGTGGGATCTTTCCATCCTTGACCATCTGTACGAGGGGCTGAAGCTCATCCTTCAGTTCAGAAAGCTGCAACCATGATGCAGAAACAGAAAAGAATCACATTCATCACGTTGGTCTGTGGTAACTTGGCAAACTCATTAAATTTGCTTTACATGTATGGGCATGTTGTGTCTTTTACCTTCGCCTTGAAGTCCTGAATGAGTTCAAGCAGCTCTGGTGATTCCTTCTTTAAAAGTTTCATTTTTTCCTTCTGAGACATCTGCTGCAGGTCTTTCACAATTCTCTCCTCTTTTTCTGCACTCTTCCCTTCATCCTTCTCTTCTACAGCAAAATCCTGAATTTGGACAGAAAAACAACAAGAAACACACAATTATTACACGGAATTAACTTCTGGTGTACAGAAGAGATTTATAATACAAAATACCTGAAAGAAGTTTAAATCATAATCATCCTCGCTCAGATTTGCAGCTAGACGTTTCTGGATTTTTATAGCCTCTTCTTCTTCCTCTTGCTCCTCTGCTTCCAACACTTCTTGTGATTTCCCTTCTATAATAACACAGTTGAACTGTTGCTTAAGCAAACACTAGCCATGCAGACAAAACTTTCATGAATAGCCTAATATAATATTGCTGGTGATTAAGGATGCGTACTGGTGGTCACGTAATCAGAGTCATAGAACATCTTCCTCTTGGAGCCCCATGCCATTTCATTAGGAAGGTCTAGGAAAAACAACAAGTCACAGTTAAACAGGCTAATTGCACATTAAGCCCAACTGTGAACAAAATATGTGACTTTGTTTACCTTCCTCTTTTTTCCCCTCTAGATCACTCTCCATGTCTGTCCCGTCTCCCTCATCCTCCTCATTCTCTTCTTCCTCCTCCTCCTCCTCCTCCTCATCCTCTGACTCAGAATCATCCAGGGCCATCACTTCCTCCTGTGAAATTCAGACAGCCTTGAATTTCCTCCTGAGCCAAATTGATTTTCTGAGGTTAAGCCTGAACAAATACAAAAAAACAGAAAAAGTGCTTCACCTCGTCGTCGATTTCCTCGGAATCGCTCTCCATTTGAACACCCTGGCTGAGAAGATTCTACAGCAGAGACCACAGCAACAAAACGTTGAGACCACAGAAACAGCACAATCACTTTGCATAGAACCACTACTGAGGTAAACTCACTGCAATCTTCTTATCGTGAAACTCATCGATTTTGTCCTTTGTGTACTGTGATGATTTCTGAAAGGAAGAGAAGAAGCAAGATCAAATCTGACTGTCAGCGCAATGAGAAATAAAAACCACAGCACCAAAGCTGATATAGTGACAGTTTGTCAATGACTGAGTGGGTCTTGTCACAAAAACTCAAAGAAAAAACAACAGAGTACTAACTGGAATGTCACAGTGAGGGAAAACAAAGCAGGTGGTTGTGACAGGAGGTGCACTCAGCCACCAGATGCTTTCATATTATCAGCTCTGCTCCTTTTTAAAAACCACTGGACATTTTAGATGTTGAAATTCTGTTTTTTGCTGTTCACCCAGATATTTCCTCTGGTGTGTAATATTGAAGTAAGTTAATAAAATGTTTGAAGTGGTCACAAATTTGAAACACATTTCTAATTGGAAGCAAACTGTATGTGTAACAACACAGACTGGGGCTGGATTGGGTGTTTTAAACAACAGCAGCTGAGGCGGACAATAACACTGAGGGTCTCCACAGGGTTCACTAAATCCACTTTAGACTTTTTAAGACCTTTTTAATACCACATAGAATGTAATTAAATAGCTATTTCACAATCATACCAACCAAGCTATTAAAGCTATTAATGAAAACCAGTCTGAATGATAAGGCATAGATTTACACAGTACATTAATTTTCACATTGCGTATCACATTTTTTCACTACTTCCCTGCAGAATTTAACAATTAATCTGCAACAATTAGTCTACTGATCGAAGGAAAGAAAAATTAACAGCCACTAGATCAATAATCAATAATCAATTGCTTATCATATATCACTGTATATTGGGTTTGGACTGATGATTGATAAAAGATTGTGAGTATTCACAAAACAAACACACAAACAAGCAAGAACATTTTATAACCAACAGTAGCCTCATACCTACAAGACATCTAAACAGCTTTAAATGCATTTTTAGGGCACTGACATCAATGTTTTGAGACATTTGAAGACCTGCAGATACCATGAAGCAGCAGTGACAGATCTGCTGAGTCCTCTTACCTTATCAGGGACAGGCATGTGCTTGTAGGCTTCAGGGTCATCTTCATCATATCGCTCTGTCTTGTTTGGCCTCCGTACCGGTTTACTTCTGAGCAGGAAATGAAAGCAGATGTGTGCTTAAACATCTCCTCTGCAGCATTCAGAGGACGTTCATAACATTGCACTGCAGCCTTTCTTCTCCCAGATCATCTCTGCTCATTGTATAATTTATTAGCTTCCCATACTGAATATCACAGCCCCGTATTATCTGTTCAATTCCTCTGGGTCATAATTGGACATCTGAGGGTCCTGGGTCGGAGCTAAGTACGTATAGGTTGCTACAACCCATCCCCTAGTGTTAGTTGTTAAGGAGCACAAGGAAGCAAGTTAGGCAGGCTGAGTTTAACGTTAGCAAACAGTCACGTTAAAACTGAACTCACCTGTTTACTCGAACCATGATGGAAACGATTTAAAGTTGGTTGATAAACGTAAATAGACAACAAAAAACAACAATAACGTTTAAACTCCACAGTATATATGTGGACATTAACACAAAAAAACCTCAAAAACCCACGTATGTCGACATGGATAGTTTCACACAAACATGTGCTTCCGTCATTTCTTCTTCTTTAGATTTGAAGGCGGTTTACAAAGCAACGTGAAAGACGCATAGCGACACCTGGAGACTGGAGTGTGTAACAAAATTTTGTAATGGTTCAATTCAAGCAAACGTATACATGCAAATAACAGTGAAACTTAATGAACAGAGAGAAAAAAACTCAACCAAGGTTCTCAGTGATTATTTCAACCTATATACATATATACTTAAAAATTCACACTGTTAAAAATGTTGTTATTGTTGCCAATATGCCCATCCTTATGTTTTCTTTTTAGCAATAAATACAAGGTGCAGCCAAGGCAGATGAGGTAAATGTCTGCTTGCTGATCATAAATAAAATAACTTTAGATCCCAAGACTCCAGACTTCATTCAGGTAAATAAATAAATATATAAATCTCTCATTGCTTGCCCCATCTCCATCAATTAAAAATTCCACTCCCTTCTAGTTTCTATTACCTGCATTTACCTCTTAGGATTTATAAAATACTGACATTTTTAAGTTCAAGCAGACACTCAACCCTGCAGATATTTTTTAAGAAATATTTAAACAGTTTGTAAAATGTGGACGTTGTTTAATGCTGTGTACACTTTATTATTTCATAACAAGTGTCTGCCCCACAGTTTTCCTATATTACCTTCTACAAATGCTTTCTGCACTCTGCCAGTAATTCTTATTCTCTGGACCTACAAAAGTGCAGTATCCACCTTTACAACACTCATTGTTAATGGCTCTGAGAATATGGCCTTTGTCTTCAGTGTGATAGTCCTGCTGTCTTTTCCTGCACTGACACTTTGACACATGTCCAAAATTTTCTTTACAAACCTAACATTTACCTCACACTTTCTTTTTCATGACAGTGTGTAATGTTGCATTAAGTCCAGTATGCCCTAACGGCTCAGTTGCATATATACAACTAACTTTGTGCCTAGAGCTGCTATTTACTGTCAGCAGTATGAACAAAACAATGTTCTCTATTTAAACACATTCTAAAATAAAGCACTACAACAATCACACAATCTCTAGTATACAGCAAAACAGTTATAACTAAGAAACATCCTGCATATTATTATTATGTTTTTACTTTCAGCCTGTTAGGCTTATTTTTACATAATTAACACAACTGAAGGTGCCTGTCCTCAGTGACAAATGTTGTTACACAAGATATTGCTCATGTATTTTTATCCTTGTTCCTTATTCTTCTTCTCCTTCCCACTCCATCATTGACTTCTTCCAGTCCATATTGAGACCATAATTGTAACTGCGAGGCCTCTCTCTGAGCAGTAAGGTCTTTTGAGATCTGTGCAGTGTAGATTTAAAGCCATCGTTCCTTTTCCTCATCAGGGTAAAAGCAGGTGTCATGGCACCGTGTTCAAAACACTGTCAAAAACAAGAATATTGACAAGGTTCAAAGTGTTTATTTTGTCATATGCACAGTTAGGAAACATGTTTCCCTGTACAATTAAATTCTTACTTTGCCGTCCACATGAATGCCACAAAATACAAATGAAATATAAAGTAGAAGGGGTCACCTAAGAGATATAAATCATGTCATATTGTGAGATAGTGGTACTTTATTTGAGCATTTAGACCACCTACACACCTACAGCATTTATTTCTCACAGGGTAGTCCTTTAATAAATGTTATTCTTTGTTTGTTTGTTTGTCTGTTAAAGACTGAATAAACTAAACTGAAACTGAATAGATGCTATGAAATGAATCTCTGAGACAATGGGGGTCCAGGATTTTGTACTATATACATCTTCTTCTTTCGGCTGTTCCTGTTAGGGGTCACCACAGCGAATCATCTGTTTCCACCTAACTCTATCTTCTATGTCCTCTACCTTTACCCCAATTAGCTTCACGTCCTCTTTTAGCACATCCATGTATCTCCTCTTTGGCCTTCCTCTTGACCTCTTGCCTGGCAGCTCCATCTCCAACATCCTTCTACCAATATAACCACTATCCCTCCTCTGCACATGTCCAAACCATCTCAATCTGGCCTCTCTGGCCTTGTCCCCAAAACAGCCAACCTGAGCTGTCCCTCTGATGTGCTCATTCCTAATCCTGTCCATCCTGGTCACTCCTAAAGAGAACCTCAACATCCTCATCACTGCTACCTCCATCTCTGCCTCTTGTCTTTTCCTCACTGCTACAGTCTCTAACCCATACAGCATAGCTGGTCTCACTACTGTCTTGTACCCCTTTCCTTTGATTCTTGCTGCCACTCTTCTGTCACACAACACTCCTGACACCTTTCTCCACCCACTCCAACCTGCCTGCACTCACTTCTGTACCTCTTTCCCACACTCCCCATCACACTGGACTGTTGACCCCAAATACTTAAACTCCTGCACCTTCTTGACCTCAGCCCCCTGTAACCTCACTGTTCCACTTCCCTCCCTCTCATTCATACACATGTAGTAACTATATACATATATATTCTTATCCATCCATCCATCCATTTTCTAAACCGCTTAGTCCCAAACAGGGTCTCGGGGGGCTGGAGCCAATCCCAGCCAGCTGCGGGTGTATATACTGTTATTTTTACACTTATTCTTCATATTTTTTTATACTTCCCTCCTTGTATTTTAATCTTACACTTTTGTACTTTACTTTGGGTGCTGTGATTTTGGTAATCATTACTGTTGCTCCTGGATACCTGAATTTGTCTTAGGATCGATAAAGTAACTATCTAGCTATCAATCTACGCAGAGAACTGTGATAAATGTATACACTTACACTGACCTTAGACCGTGGCACTGGGACTTCTCTCCCATCATGATTTATATCTGTGTTGATTGTGCTCAGGTCCACCATGGACTGGCTCATTTCTGGCACTGTGGCATTCAATCCTTTCTTGAGCAGTCCTGCAGCAGTCTTTTGAGACTGAATCCTCTTCATAATGTCACTCAAAGAGCTGAAGCTCTCAGACTGTGGCATCCTCAGGATTAGAGGTTTCTGTGAAGACAGAACTGCATCTCAGTGTTCCCAGGAGCTTTGTATCAGTTAAGCCAGGTCTTATGGCAGAAAAGGCCAGCTACTTACTCTAGAAGATATGCTGTCCACTTTGATGCTAGTTATGTCCATGCTGCTCTCTTCCTCCAAAATGGACTCGCTTCTTGAGCGCTGTCCTCTCGCAGCAGAGGAAAGTAAGACCATATTGTGTGTTGGCTCTATTGCTTTATCATCAAGTCTTGTTGTTGTTGTTGTGTCATCTAAATGAATGTTATTCTTTATGGAGAGTTGTTTGGAAGTGTCTTCCTCTGTTATGTGTTCCATTCTACACAAGAAAAAAAACAACAATTTAATTTCAATCATTTCAATAATATTTCTGTCAAAATGTTTCTTTTATCTTTTGGGTGTTACCTTTTGATCCTTTCTGCAGTTGCCGGGCCTGTTGGCGAGGTCTGTATGTTACTATGAAAATAATAAAGATACCAAGGAACGATTAGCAGAAAAAAGATGGCCAATACTCTTAATCAATATAATGTCAACACTGTCTGTAACAAGACTCACTTGGGAACTGTTAATCTATGTGGCACACTGTTTATCACTGGAGAGGAGTTTTCATATACCCTGTCAAATACAAAAACAAGCAAGTAAAGACTCACAAACAATGTGAAGCAAATAATATTGAAACTTTGCTGTCCCCCATAAGCAAAATTATTCAAAACATGTTTCAGTACTTCAGTGTTTTGGTATAAACCTCAATATATAAATTGTAGTAAAAAAAAACAAAAAAAGAAACAAGAACAAAACCTGCTATGCAGCATTGATCATCTGACATTGCAACATTTGTGGAAATTTAGCAGTGAAATTTAAATATATATGTATAAATACATATATATATGCTGTAACCTTGGCCCAAATGCTCACTATGGTGTCTTACTGGTGAAGTCAAGATTATCCATGTACCTTTTCTTATCCAGAAAGGGGTTTCCATTGTGAGTAAAACCATCCTTAATATGTATGTTATTATCCAACAGCATGTTGTTCTGCACTGGCATTTCATTGGCCACATCTTCCTCATGTTGATCAAAAAGACTGTCTGGTAAACATTCTCTTTGGACAACACCCATTGCTTCCCAGTCCAGGAGAGAATTAGCAGGTGGGGATGGAGGGTTGGTAATATCAAGCTCCAAAGACAGTTGTTTTTGGACCTGGAGTTCTAATAAGTCTTTTTGCTGATAAGTCATATCTACATGGACACCTGTAATCCTCCATATGTCTGGGGCTGGATGCGAAGCAGCAAAAAGGATCCTGAACTCCCTGTCAAATGAGTCAACCACCGGACCACTTAGAACAGTGATCAGCTGCCGGTGCAGGTGAGCATCTGTCCATGTGAGGCTGCAGAATGCAAAGACAGTGTGTGACATAACTTTCAAGTAATAGCCTACATAAAAAAGAAATAAATTGAAAAGCCTGACTGCTTACCTGTAGCTGCCATGAATCACTGTTTCTAAATCCACCAGAAGGAACTTCTCTTTCATTTCACCAACCACTGTTTTTCCCGTCCTTGAATAGAAGGTTCTCCCTTCAAGAACACGCACTCTTATGTTCTGCCAGATCACAAGCTTAGGTTGAAAATCAACACAGAACTGCACTGATACTTGATGTCTATCTGTGATGGAGTATGGATGGTCAACTATGTGTGTAATATTTTGTAGGTTTTATATGTAAACAAGAGTCTACAGCCATGCTTGTAGCTCTGTGAGACTGTACTTAGGCACAGCAATGCTTTGAGCTAAGTGCTAACATGTTGATGTTCAGCAGCTAATATTTACCATGTGCACCATTTTAGTTAGGCTATTATGCTGACATTTGCTAATTAGCACCAAATCAGAATCAGCTTTACTGGCCAAGTGTGCTGGACACATGAGGAATTTGACTCTGGTACAATGGCTCTCTCAAATGCAGCTAAAGGCTCATTAGTTTTGCAGGTATTTAATCTTAAATGAAAGTAGTTATTGGAAAAATTAAAATGTTGCTATTATCAGTTATGACAATTCGTGTTGCAGGGGATATGAATGACATGAATGAAAATATTTTTGCTAAAATCTATAAATGTCACACTCATTGTGTCAGAGGAAAGGTCAGAGGATCACTAATGTTATTAGGATACAACATCTGGAAATGTGAACATCTGTACCAAATTTTTAGCCAAGATCCATTTAGTGAATGTTGGGATATTTTACAGAATAAGTTAAAACATATGTTGTGGTTGTAGCACTATATGAATCAAAATTGTTAGGGCTCATCTTCTGGCCATTGATAGCTATGCTACATTTCATGGCAGTCCATCAGTAGCTGTTGAACTGTTTCTGTCTGGACCATAGTGGTGGACTGACCAACCAATATTGCCATTTCTAGAGGCATGCTGCTGGCGTGGCTAACATTTGCACTTCAGACTGTTATAGCCACTGCATATGAATAAAATTAAGAAACTATTTTAGAGCTTGTGAATTCTGATTAGTCTGTAGCTCAGTTAGAAACAGAGAATTTTAAGTATGCTCACCAAGTTTACATATATCATGAAAACATTTTGTCCCACTTTGTTCACAACATCAGATGGGTTAATCTCCACTTGAAACAAACAAATACAGACAACACTGAATGCTGTGCAACCAGTTCAGCTGTGTTACTGAAAGTGCATTTTACATTCCTCTCATTAGCATGCTGAAGCAAAAAGACATGTGTAGTTTATGAGATATCTTGCATGATCATGTATGCGGTGTGTCAAGTTTTTAAAGATACTGATGTAGGCTCACTTTCAACATGACCTTTGTTTAAAAGCAACCCATTACATAATGAGTTGATCTGCTAGACAGCTGATGCTTGGTTTTTGACAAAATAAAATGTATACTTTCTCTATTCTCATGTATATATGCAAAAGAAGATGGCTACCATGTGTGTGCTTATTTGTAGTAGGTGACTTACTGGGTGCCTGAGCCTGCTGAGCATCAAGTTCTCCTTAATGGACCTTTGGTTCAGGATGATATAGACAGGAACACCCCGAGAGGCAGCACTGTGCAAATCGCCAATTACAGCACCATCTGTCAATCTGTCTGTCACAATGGCAATTACCTGCACAGTACACAAAATGTCAGATAGCTTGTCAGATTAGCAGGATTATAGAGAAAGAGACTCATAGAAACTAAAGCCCTCTGTCAGTGTCAATTCATTATCAAGCTGAATGTTGATGTTGTCTAGGTATGGAGTGCTTCGTGTATGGCTTGTTTATAATGTCAGAGAGTTTAAACTGAAGCACTCTATTTTATTAGTTTATGAATGTTTTTAGTGTAAAATCTTGCTATTACTAAGTAAAGCCATCAAATAAATACTGTATGGTCAAGCAAAAAATATATTTTCCACTGAAATGTGGTGGTGTGAAAGTATGAAACCTCAGAAAATTGAAATACTCAAGGAAAACACCAGGTCTACAAATACTTATGCACTTTACCTGTACCCATATAAAAACATGCGTTGTGTTAATCCGTAAATTAAATCCACATCATGTTGCATACTTGGCTGGCCTTTTGCAGGTGCCGTCTGATGACTTCTCTGACTGGAGGGTCTCCCTCAGCAGAAGGACTGGTGTGGACTTTAACACCCTCCGCTGACACCAAGGAGCTTTTTTCAGGCCAGCCCAGCTCCAGGTCAGGAGCTGCTGTGTCTGTTTGGCTAGGGAAGTAGGTAGAACAGAAGCTGCCCATCTCCAAGCTACCTTCCACTCCATTCTCCTCCCGCTGCACCTGTACCTGCTTAGGGTGATGGTCCTGAGCCCATCTGGCTATCTGGCTGACTTCTTCAGAAGATAAGAAGGAGCAGGAGCGCTCTGCGCTGATCGAATTGTAGAAGGCCTCTGGTCCGGCACTCAGGAGTCTCTCCACTGCTCTGCGCTCCTTCTCACAGTAGAGGAACTCCGGAGAGGAATCATTCACCGGCAGGAACACTGCATCTTCATCAAGGCTCTGCTCTTGGGAGTCTGACATGTCGCAGCTTAATGTGTCTCTGGGAGTAAGTGCTACTTAACAAAGTTCCCACTACTGACTACTGTTGGGGCGACTCATGTCACCCTTCAGTCTAGTTAAAGTGATTGCTTTATCTATCCGCCTGGCAAAAAACATCATTTCCATGTTGATGAGAGTTTAACAGAACACCAGAAATCTTGATGTTGCTGCCAGTCCTGACAATGTTTCACTTCCTTTATTGAGAATAGGTTTGGTCAGGGTTCATAGGTTCCGTCCTGACCATTTCTACAGCAGTCTTGTCCCCCAGCTCCTATTGACAAAAGAGAAAAACCAATAAATTGAAGCCATTAATGTGTCTGCCAGCTTTAAAAACATCCGTCTGTCCACAAAAAACCCCAACACACGATGAAACTCACCTCCTGGGCAACATGTCTCCTCCCTCAGTGTCATGTAATGACTCTTCATATGTTCCCTCCCCTGCTTGGCATCTCACACCTCTTCCACTCCTTGTTACCTTCATTGTTCTCAGATTCCATAAATTCTGTGGGCTTGACTGATTGTTCAGCTGCTCAGACACTGTAACAATTCTACTGTACTTGTCTTTGATATTTACGGCTACAACATTTAAATGAAATCACAGTAACTAATAATCAGGTTTCACTACAAACCCTTATATCATTTATGTGACATGTATGGTGAATAACATTGTCATGTTTCCCATATCGAAGAGGCTCCTCTCTATTAAACACTTTTGTTTTTGGACTGGTCCAGTTTGACAGGTACTGTAGGTTTGTGAGAAAGAGTAACATGCAATACTATATCTGACTTCCTATCTCAGGGTTTCAAGTGCAATCACAGTGGTTTTTATTTCTTTGGAAATACCGAAATACTCTTAGGAAAAGAATTGCATCTGTGTTGTGTTATCTGTAAAGCACTTAACACAAAGAAAACAGGCCTTTTACAGATTTAGCCATTTAAACTCCAGAAATGCTCTTTAAACTATTCAATAATTATAAAGTGACAATCAGTGAATTGTGTTTTAATAGGTAAACACAGATATGTATATACAAAAACAAGCCATTTGAGCTCCATATTTCTCTACCATCATCATAATCGTACAGTAAGCACCAGGGACGCATTAATTACCTACGTCAGAACTCTTAATGTAACAGGTTGATATGAGCTTTGTATCTTACAGCATCAACAAGTTTTAACTTTCTTGATCTGATCTTGAGTGACAGTTCTCACAGAAAAGGATGCCATCATGATGACACAGAGTCCCACATACTGTACCATGTAGCATGATAGGGTGGATGCTGAGTCAGAAACCATTTACAAAGTTATATAATTCTCAGTCATTTTATTTCCTCATGTGCGCTTACTGTTACTGAGAAGTGACTGAAGTAAAGAGCAGTGCATTCTTAATAAATGGTTCCCCAATCAGCCTTTCCGTTTGTTGGCTCACTGCTTCTTGCGCAGGTGGACATATAGGACACCGCTGACCAGGAGGAGAGGTACACACAGCCATGCCAGAATGAAACAGTAACCAAAATGTCCTTTGCTCAGATCTCTGGAGTCATTTAAAATCACCTTTGTGTGAAAGGTAAAGATGAGGCAGGCAGCAAAATCTGTGAAACCTGCAAGAGTAACATATAAAAAAAACATTTTAGTGCAAGTTACCTTATTTGATCACAGTCATATATATTTTCATGTACTGTATATATTTAACTACACATGAGGAATTAATAACAATGCCTATGTCAGTTTTAATCCCTATAGAGGAAAAAATTAATGCTATTTAACATTCTTCTTCTTGTCAACATATGTTGCAAAAAAAAAAACTTGTTAAAACCAACAGTTGTTATTCCATCTCTCTGTTCTTTCTAGCTTTCCTAAACTATTTGTGGTGCTCAGCCTCAAGCCCACTGGTTCTACTGAAAATGTAAATCTGCAAAAATGGTCCCTAAACATATAGCAAAACAACTTTTAGCAAATGGGACATAACAGGAGAAAACAGTGCAATTCTTGGAGACTTTAAAGATAAGATAAAATAAGTTAAAAATACAACAGACATACAAATTAAGCAACTTTTGTTCATCAAATCACACCTGGATACAGAAGTCTATTTTCATCCTGACAGATAATACAAAGCTCTAAGGTGCATTTAAGTGGTTACACTGTCACAAGAAATGAAAGCTTTTTAACAGTTCTCCAAAGAATGTAAACATAACATGGTATCAGGTTTTTGTCAGATTTTCATTTACACTGTTTTATGTGGAATATGGATTAAGCCTTCAAAACACCTGGAAAGGCCTGGCAGAAGCCTGTGAAGTAGAAGAGTCCTCCTTTGGACATGTTGATTAGCTGGCCCAGAAAAACCAGGAAGGCGATTGAGGAGAAGACCACAGAGGGCCTGCACTGACTGCAGCCAGTCTGGGAGAACAGGTCAGAGAATCAGTGACTCAGAAGTACAACGAAAACCTTCAGGTGATATAATATCCAATCATGCAGAAATGTTTTAAATGAACAAACCGACTTGCAGGTTAATATGCAAACAAGTACTTAACCACTTTCACTGGTATCAGCACACAGCCAGGTTGTTGTGGCATTATTGTGGAAGCAGTTATACCAGAGGTCTGTGATTTCTGAATCAGACCATATCCACCAGGACTAAAGAAGGAAGGAAAGAATGCTTGAATCATTGTGGCTTTGTGTTTTTATGCAAGTTATGTAGTTGATAAGTATTGATGGATCAGTTCAAAGAGTGATCCTTAGAATGGCACAGTGCTGCAGTTAATATGTCGATGTGCAGCATTTTTGTGTTGGGTTTTCCTCATATCATGCACAGATTAACAGTGACATCTACAGTTAAAGGAGAGACAGCATGAGTTAATGCACTAGCTTATATGTGAATCTCACCTTCTCCAGGGTGGTGATGAGAAGCATGGTCAAGGTGACCAGATGTAGCACAGTTATGGATATGAGCAGGAAGGCTATGTGGAGATGAGTGAAAGCTGTAGTGTCCTGTGAACAAACAACCCTGTGGTTATTGTGATTATGGTATGATGTCTCTACAGTGAAAATTCATTTGGGCTGAGACTAGTGATTCTGAATATAACCAAAAGAAGCATAATTTTCCACTGCTAAGGACCATCCCTTTTTTCCATGTCATTTAAAATGCCCAGCAGATTTCTCAAGGCAGTGGCCTAGATAAATAAACTCTCAGCTGGCCTCATGAGGAAACTCTGAGCACTTTCATTGTGCATCTCAACATCTTATCTCAATGCCACACAAGAGGGGATTTCACTGTATGTTCTGGGCCTGTCAAGTCTCTGAGGAATACATACGTATACCATAACATCAGCACCCTGTAACCTTCAAGTCTCTGAGGAATATATATACCATAACATCAGCACCCTGTAACCTTTGTAAACAAGCATGTAGCCTACAGCGGTCTGTACAAGCGCTCTGGCATACAGTTAGGTCCTGTTTATGAATCTGGGAACAAGCTTTGTGTCTATACTGTAAAAGATGATAATCTGTCACTATGCTGCATGTAAGGTTCAACAAGTATGAAAAACCTTATTTAAAAAGCATGCTTATTCAATAGTTAAACTTTTCTGAACATATTTACCAGTTATTAATACCACAGAAAGCTACAGTATCTTTTGAAAAGACTTAAGTGAAATGGCAACAACTCTGAATAAGAGTAACGAATGACTCAGTGAATATATTTAGTAAAACTTAAATCACAATTATTCGACATGGTGAGAATGAACAGACCTGTTGTAATCCTATCCGTTTTATTAAGTTAGTGTGACCTTTTCCATCAGAAACATTTGTGAAGACACAAGAGGGAGTCACGTTATTATAAATAAGATTTGGTTTTAGTTTTAGTTCACCCAGATACAGCTGTTAATATTAGTAAATGCAGCGTTTGTATTGTGGCCTATTACAGTATGGCCACATTAGGATTTCCCCTTAAATATAAATATAGTTTTGTCTGATTTTTAAAATACATTATGGGTGCCTGAATTAGAAATGGCATTATGTGCAAATGAAATGCATAGGCTTAGTCTAAAATACCAAAATTGGTGCATTTGGCATATTTGTTTCTGTGGCCAGAGAGAGAGGCTGCTTCTCCATGTTACAAATCATTTCAAATACAAGTGCTTGATTTAAACCTTTATTTGTTGTACACTACTGTGCAGTTAGACTTGTAGGAGTAGGGTTTCTACCCTTTGTATAATGTTTGTCTTTCCCACCAACTTCTGGCCACAGAGAGAATTCACTGTTGCTCCAAGACTGTGGACTGTTCAGAGAGGCATGTGTTTGACTACTACATCTGGTTTACTTAACAGTTTGAGGTATGTAGAACAGACAAAAGGAAGGTAATGGCCACATTAATTGCAAGCATATGGAAGAACAGAAGCGCTTCTTCATAAATGCCTAAACAGTATCAATAACAAGTCTTTTGTTCACATTTGATTACATTTGGTTGTGCTCTCACTGGGAAAGAATCTCATCATACTAAGTTGTATGTACCAGTAATAGAAAATCCAAGTAGCCATTCTGTTTAATCCAGCAGCATGAAGTTCTTACCCGATGCCCTCTTTCTGTGTGCCTTCTTCCGTCACAAATGTTTAGCTCCAAAACTTGAAGAGTACAAAAAAGGAATGTGGAGTTACATGTAGGAGGAGTTGTCAACACCCATTTCCTCTAAACGTTCCCTGTCCTCCTCCCTCAAATCTGTGGCCTGGAAAAGCTCAGCACCAAAAATAACAATCCTCTGGACTGGCATAAACACAGAATGTTTACTCAAAACCAATAGTGAATACTGAACTGCTGAGTATAGTATGATGCGGTAATTTATGCCACAATCTATTATTCAAACTGTATAGGGGAAAACAAACTCTGATTGCATTAGATGTGTGTAGTTTGCCAGTGCTTCACATACAGCTTACATGTGCTGTTCAGCTGTGCAGCATGAGTACCAACAGTGTATAAAGTGAGGTGATGGAAAGATGGGAAATAAGGGCCGATTGCTGGCCATGCTTGATTGTAAATGGGCAGGAGATCTCAAAGCACCAAAGACTCAGCACACAAAGTAAAACTAGAGAAATGTACTATGGATAAACTCAGTTTCAAAAACTGTTACACATAGAAGAAAGAAAATGTACAGCCTAAATACTGTTGTTCCACAAGGGAAGAAGATTTGTCTCCCCCTTAATAAACACACTAAAGGCAATGAACACAACACAATAACAACATTAAAACACATTAATAGCAAAATGGCAACCAGTGTAGGCTAATTTCATCTCCAAGCACTGGGATATTTTACTAGGCTACTCTTTTATATACTCTTCTATTTAGAGATTTAGGTACATCTGCACTAACTTTACACAACAATTTGTGATGACTAAATAACAGCATCACTCCAGGTAAAACGACGTTATATTTTAACCGCAGTAGGCTACTCCCCTTAAGAATTGGTTCACACGACGTTTCCACGCTCAGTAAATCCCAATATTCGTGGGGAGTGCTGCGTCCCCCTGTGTTAACGGGGAGAAAACGACGTAGCGGCGACTACGTACTCTGCTACGTACTTTATCGTTATAACAGTTGAACGCGGTCGGCCCGTACGTTCACGTCGCAGTGTTGATACATCTCCATGCCAGTCAGAGGTCGGACTTTTTCGGAAAAGACAAAACCATGAGGGCTAAAGTGTGCGTGTGATATACGGTCGAAAGGTGTTTCTTAGCGCAGCGCAAATGGATCAGCCAGAGGTAGTAACGCAGTCTACTTGTTCTTCGTTTAACTAATTCACTTAACAGCTAACTAAAACATAAGGAAATATAAATATGATCGACTTTACCACCGTAAAGCTGGCGGTGAAACGAACTAACGCAGTCCCTAACACTTTACCTTTGTTGATGAACATATCACCATCGCACATAGTCGCCAGCTTGTTCCCGAGCTTCATGATGTTTACATACAGATTTTTTTTTACCATTTTCTTGCTTGTCTTTTCACACTGCACAGCTCCATTAAATTGAAATTCTGTGGGTGTGTTTATGTACATTTTCCTATTATAACTTGCATCTTCACTGTTAATCTTCACTGAAATGAAAAACTCTGAGGTTCTGCAAGCACGGCTGCAGAGGCCATGTAACATTAGCGTTATTTATAATGACTGAGGTTTAAGGGATTAACGAATTCACTTATAATATAAAGTCGGTTTAGACCACCACAGATGAAGCAGTTCAGTTGGCAGTGTCAGCTCTCCACTCCTAGCAGCTGTTCCCCAATATGTGCAAACGACCCAACTGTAGTTTAGAGTTGGGGGTGGGCTAGCATTCAGTCCACTTACAGTCCACTGAGCAATGATCATGCCTAAGTCCCAGTTGTAACTGGTGCAACAGTTGTTAAGTGGGTCCTCACCTTAAACTTCATTGTGTCATAAAGATATTCCCACAGGTAAAATTACAGAATGGTAACCAAATTCCTCCTCCAACAATGTAAGCTGTTAGAGTCAGTAAACCCTTAAGCATGAACCAACATGTTTACGTATGTGTCACCCATCTATACTGTAGGTGGAGCTGGGGCAGATTGCCACATGGTTAAGTGAGCAGGGACTTTCTCCTGGCTCCCCTGAGAAGGCTCAACTCTGTTTGCTGTGGCGTGCCCACCAGCACACAAGAAGCCGTCTAAGCAGTGTGACAAGGGACCTGGACATCCAGCGATCACAACACGTAGCAGAGATGGCAGAGGTACGTTTTCACCGCTGAATTACTAGTCACGTCAGAGATGGTCAAGAAGAGCAAGAATAAGTGAAGGCCTGTTCCTGCTAGTGACCAAGTTGTCGGCTTTTTGTCTGTCTGTAAGGTACGCAAGTCCTTGGAGCAGATCCGTATCTTTACCAAGCACAAAGATGCTTTGGCGCAGCAGATACAAGATGAAAATGATCATCTCAAGGACCAGCTGCAGCGCCTAATATCCCGTCAAGGTTAGAAATGCTAACCAGTACACTACCTACAAATAAGAATCATCTGCAAGCCTGAGCAGTAATGACAAAACTCAAACTTCTCAATGTTCATCTGCACTATGTCAAAGTTTTGTTGTAAACTATTTGCCCATATATTAATTGTATATTTCCAAAGATTTTGAGGACCTAATGCAGATGTTTTCGTCTCATACACCAAAGGACTCCAGCTTCCATAATCTGTCCTCCTGGCCAACTTGCTAAGATGTGCAAATCCAAATGCAGTATAAGCAAACACATTAGTGCAGTAGATTTACATAAACTGACTGTGTTCTTGGAGCAAAATCACCAGACAACATCAGTCCCTATCATTTCAGCAGTACTGAAAATAAAGCTTTGGAAATACAAAAATAATTACAAAATCTTCTCCTTCCTCTTGTTTCTTTAATTGACACAGATGCCCAGATAAGTGAGGTGGCTAAAATGCTGTACCAGCAAGGTCTCACAGAACTGATTCACAGCAGCCCTAGTGAGCAGGTGGCATACCTGCTGGTGGAGAGGGCCTCCCTGCTTGAGATGAGTAGGGATCCTGACAACCTGACAAGTGATGCAAACACAATGAGCACACTGGGGACAGAGACACAGGTGTCCAACCATCATGCACAGCAGGTTAGAGGAAGCACATTCATTGATTTAATCATTAGCAGTTCAGATGGGAAAGATGGTGTAAAAGTGAGAGCCATACTCTAGTTCAATTGAAAAAATGTGGGTTTTAGCTTTGATACTTACACACACAAAGCTCTCAGCACAGCCAGGACCATAGCAAAGCATGTAATTTCCATTAAATGAAAAAATAAAGTCAGCACTGCAAAGTTTGTAATTGACGTCTTTTATGTTTACTAGTTTTGCAGTGATATTTTTGTGACATTTATTATATGGTTATACCAAAATTCAGTCAGATCCATATCAACAAATTGCATATTCTGATATGTTCAGAGATTTTTTTTTTCCAGTTGTTCCACAACATGTTTTTCATGCAGTCTTCTTTGTGGTTAGGTGACTTATTCTCTCATCTTATGATACATGTTTTTCCACAGTCTCCCCACAAGGGGGCACCACGTCATGGCCTGAGTCCATGGAAGAGACTCCTGGGACTCCACAGAGCTTCCCAGAGTAAACATGTTTTTATACCTGTATGTAATTTTACAGTTTCTACAGTAATGTTACAGCATCCATTAAATACTAACAAATACTAAAAACTGCACCCAGGTCAGTTGAAACTAGCGCTGACTCTAGTTTCTGCATCATAAGGTGCACATATGATTGTGTGGCTCTTTCTTCACTAGCATCTACATTAACTGCAACCTTTTTTGTTCCAGCATTATTAGGCTGTGTTACCGGCACAAGGTAGGGAGGTTTGCATGGCAGAAGATACTGCACCACTGATGCTTCTTGATCCAGTGCGCTTCTCAAGGTCTCCTGTTTGTTTTTGCATGTACTTCTGAACATTTTTGTTTCTATTAAATGGTTCCCTTCAGAGCACGGCAGTCACTGCAATCTTTGGTGAGGTGTTGCCCCTACTCTTTAGGCTGGGCCTAGGCATTTGACTAGTGAGGCAAGCAGTGTGGAGAGGCAGTGTTCCCGTCTGGAGTGGGATCTGGAGGAGGGTTCCCGCCGACTGGCCATGGCCCACAACGAGATCCGTCGCTTGACTGATGAGCTGGAGTCCGCTCACTTGACCCGAAGAGCTTACGGTGAGAGACATTAACCAGCCACTGATACAGTAGATGGACAATGTCAGATTTCTCATGGCGATAATAGCCTGCTGTCACCGTTACAATGTCTTCTCTATTTTCATTTCTTATTAAATCAAGGCTGCCATCACTGCTACAAAAGGAAACATCACAAACTTTCAGCAGCCCTCAGTAACAATTATGCACATTACTAAGGTTTACAAGTTATTTTACCGTTATATAATATCCAAACAGACTCCATCCCCAAATTTCCACAAGCTTTCTCATCTCTAAGCTGAAGAGGAAATGCTGCCAGCAACTTTGTGAAGAATATTGCTGAAACATTAATGTTTATTCTGGCATTTGTGTTTTTAGAGCCTGAGCTGCAGGCAGCACAGCAGGAGGTGAAGCAGCTTAGACAGGAAGTAGAAAAACTGAATAACTATGGTAAGATGCTTTTTTTCATGTGTATTCTTTAAGCTGTTTTTAAACATTTTAAAAATGAATTGAGTGTATATTAAGTGCAACTGTATTTAAATAGAAATGGTGGAACTGCGAAAGGCCAAAGATCTGAATAATCGTCTGGATCTGGAGATCAGAGCCTTGAGGAGCAGGGTGCGCTCCCTGGATGCTGGGAAAAGCTCATTACAGCAGATGGTAAGACATGATGATGGTGAGATAATACTACTTTCAAGAATTTTTTTAATTTCCACAGTTTTTACAGGAAGAATTTTCAGTAACAGGATAAATCTATATTTAGGATCCACACAGTTTAGTCTTGTAGTTGCTGAGTTGGTCAGTCATAAATCATAAATTATGAGTGGTTGAATAAATTCTTAAAAAGTAAATCTCATTGGTGCAAACAGAAGGACAATAGCACAAATTTCAGCCCACCTTATTTTAAAAGTGGAGGTAAATCATCCAGTAAGGTCTGAATTTTGTTAATTTTCATGTTGTAAAGCACACTTCATATTAAACCTGAACACAGTGAATAGGCAGATGCTGTTGGGCTTTTTCTGTTATAGTATGTACAGTGCGATATTACAGCTCTGGCAACAGCTCATTGTGGTAATAGCTATGCTGGGGGGTTAAGGAACCGATTCTGCTGCTGACCACATTCTTCCTGTCAACCACCACTGTGTCTAGCACATAATGAATTAGTTCCTCCTACCTATCCGGACCCAGCCCCCAGTAGTTGCATTGGCTGAATCGCCACGTGTGCTGGCCATAATTGCCAAAAACAAAAATGTTACTGGAAGCAGCATTGTTTACAGTGCACATGCACTATGGGTAGTGTATGGACAAATTTTGTTTGTATTTAATTTTTTTATATTTTCTGTTAACAACTTGGTCACATGTATGATGTATGATATGTAGGTTATATGTGAAATAAAATAATAGGGCTCAGGTATTTGTGCTTATTTCAGTTCTGCTTTACAATGACACCCAAAAGGGACAGAAGGAAGTGTAGTTTATACAGGTTTGATGTAGCCAATAGATGGTTTATATTCAGTTTAATAATTCATTTAGGGAATGATTTCTGCTATATTCTACAGTATTTTAGGCTATGTAACGTGTACTGTGGATATTAAGCATCACTATATGGTTATACCTGGATATTCTTTGCCAGCGGATCTCTGAAAATACTCAGTGTCAGTGAACCTTGTTTCTCCACTGGGGACAATCCAGCTGTCTGCTGCAACTCCAGGGCACGCTTGTTTCAAGTCTCATGTAGCATGAGCGGGTGGTGTGTAGAGGTGGGCGATGCTGTAAAATTTGGTATCGATCCGATACCAAGTAAATACAGGGCCAATATCGCCGATACCGATACCAATATTTTTTTTAAAAGCACACAATATAAATTACATTCACTTTCTTGTATAGGGGATATCAGTGTGTCAACATTTATGAAGTGATTGCATAATTATTATGCTAAATCTGAATGTATTTTCATAACCATTAAAAGATGTTGTGATTTGCTCTTAGTGTACCTGTAATTAGTTATGTGTCAGGTAAAAGACAAAAAGGACATATTTCAAATATGAAAACAATATATTATTATAATAAACTCAATTTGCAAACATGAACTGTGCATGAAATTATCGAGAATAGTAATAGCATTAAGAACAGAAAAACAGAATAATACTATAAATTAAAATACATTAAAGAATAATATAGTAACAAAACAAAATTCTCCCTTTAACAGTACTTAACTGGCTTTAACAAAACATAAAGTGCACTAAATTATTACTAGAAAACAAAGCAGCTGTTTTGTTAAGACTCACTAATATAACAGATTAAATAATTTCCCTTTTCGCACACTGTCTTCGCTTATAAACAAAGTGCACACAATTGTTTGTGAAAAAATAAAGTGATTAAAGTGCAAATAACTAAACAAAAATACCAAGCAAAATTCCTAAAACCCTCATCTTCAACGACAGAGAGAGTGGTTGCGGGTCCTTTGCGATCATTTCAGCAAGGCTCCTTGTAATATTTATAGCTCTTGGGGAGGCATCAGTGCCAGTCGTACGATGCTGCTGGGATGCAAGGACTTGAGAGTCAAACTCTGCCCATATCCCACATTTTACTGCAGGAGGGGAAGCAGCTGCTCCTGCAGGGGAGCATAAGGTAGTTGCAGTAGCCATTGCTAAGGTAGAGCTGATGGCCGGGCTTGACCTTAAATCAGGAGCTGACACTGAAGAGGTTGAGTTCTGTCTCAATAGCTAAATTTCTGTGATGAGTCGCCCTTTGAGAGATTCAACATTTGCCATGTCACGGAACCCCAGGTTTTTAAATCTTGCATCCAGGTAGGTACTGACAGCAAGACCATAAAAGGTTTCAATACCTCTGAAACGACGTTGGCATTGTGCTGACAGCTCAGCAGCTATCTTGCTACCTTGGCACTCATAAGATGCTGTTGATCTCAGAAGTAGTGACACCAGGGGAATCACTTTCGAAACTGAAACATGTTTTTCATTTGATATCTCTCTTGTGACTTCCTCAAATGGTTTCAGAGCTTCAATGGAAACAGTGATCGTGGACCAGTCTTCCTCACTTAAGCACAGGGATGTCTTAGACAGAGGACCGTAGTAACAGCTTCCTTCTGCTCTAACAGTCTCTCAAACATATAGAACACAGAGTTCCACCTTGTTTCAACTGACTGTATCAGTTTGTGTTCTGGAAACTTAAGTTGGTTCTGAACTTCTTTGAGCTTCTCTGCTGCTCTTGTGCTGTGGTGAAAGAAAGCTACAATAGCACTGCATCTCTGCTGGATGTGAAGAAGATCAGGGAGAGCCTTAATGGAGTCTTTTACTACTAAATTTAGGGTATGTGCAAAACATGGATAATGTGCCCAACCTGCTTTGTGCACAGCCGCAACAATGTTCGCTCCATTATCTGTGATTACAGCCTGAACTTTATCTGTTATGCCCCATTCATCAGTGACTCTTTTCAATTCCGAGCAAATGTTTTCAGCGCTGTGTTGTCCTGGAAAACTACAGGTTTCTAGAACATATGCTTGCATTTGTCATCAATAATGTGGCATGAAACAGATAAGTAAGCCTTTGTGGCTTTGTGGAGTATTTTAGATGCAACCGGTTCTTTTATCTGAAGGCCCCAAGAAGTAACACTCAAGAAACAGGAATCAGCTTTACGTAGATTTATTTTCTTCTGGTTAAATGCAGAGTTATTACAGCGCTGGGCTCTATGAGATGACAAGTCTCCAAGAGCCTCGATAATCAAAAATCATTCACATTTATCTTCTCGGGCTGGGACTGCCCTGTACATGGGTGGTACGTTGCACATCAATATTCTAGAATGTTCATATAGGCAGTATGCGTGTGTGTGGTGTTATCTTCTATTTTCAGGTGTTTCTCTCTAACGGAAAGCAGACATGCAGTTAGCTGTGTCACTTACTTCCCTGATTCTGTTGTAAAAAACCCCTTACTCATGCTTCAGACATGAGTGACCAGTTCAAGCCCGTCAGACTTCACGTCTGTTAAGTAGCATAAATTAACAGTTTCTCTGAGGAAGAAACTGTTTGAACATGAAATATGCATTAGAAATCATTTTTATGTTTTGTATAGTGTTTTCTTCTCAGGTACTGTATGACTGTATACCTTTGGGTTTTGGGCTGATGGCTGCACAAGACATTTGAACAGGCATGAACTTACGCTTGCCAGCTGTACTCCTGTATGTGTTTGTTTCAGGTTTTGTCTCTGCAGGAGGAGAAGGAGCGACTGGAGGCAGCCTTACAGCATCAGACTGAGCAGCAGCTGCTGGCTGAACAGGTTCAACCAGACCAGGCCATGGAGCTGGCTAAAGTAAATACCACTACCTAAACTCATTAACTGTAAAAAAAACAAACAAAAAACAAACGTGCTGTTTCAGATATGTTAACTATGTTATTCAGAGCAGTAGTAGTGTTTAAGGGCTACAGTAAAGTGCGTTCAAAGTCGCTACTAATTGAAATGACATTTGAAGAGTTTTAGACTTGTCTTGCTGTCAGAACACAATATACAGTGGCTTCAGAAAGTATTCACCTTTTGCACACTCTACTGTGTGTGTGTGTGTTTTGTTACCAACTTAGCAGAGGAATACAACTCAAACTTAACTGATAAAATAAGGCTTCATATTAGGAACAGAGACGACATAAATAAACTAGAATTGCCGCCTTGTGGTTGTATGCCTCTGCCAACCAGTCAATTTCACCGGCATGGGACAAAAGTTACCCAAATCTAATCAGTTCCCTCACGGCGTTCCTGATATATCACACTCACAAGAATGGGCCATATGGATGGATGGACAACCCTAAAACATAATGTCTTCAGCTATGGCTATCACCAGCGCAGAAGCATAGAAACATAATATCGCTGTCTGAGGTCTTTTGTTTGCAAAGGAAAGCTTTGTTTTGTTTGTCAGGTTGCATCTCTGCAGAAGGAGGTGGAACGGCTGCAGTCAGCCCTGCAAGAGCAGCAGCAGCAGCTCCTGACTGTGCAGGTTCAGGCTAACCAAGCTAATGAACTAGCTAAAGTAAGTCACATATTGTACAAAATCTTATCAACATCATCTTATCTTATCAATATCAAACAGTGTGGTGACACTTTTTGTGCATGGATCCCTTTGTGAAGAAAATGACTGTACTTTTGTACCAAACAGGACGGTATAACTGACCCAGGCCTCTAGAGAATCCAAACGTGTGGTCAGTGCTGTGCATGCCTGATTGTTGTTGTTGTATTTCTAGTTCCAGGAAACTGAACTGAATCAGAGATACGATATATGCAGGGATTTACAAAATAAGCTCAGTGCTCAGACAAAATGCCTTTTGGAGAAGGAGTCAGAAGTGAGTGAATCAATATATTAATAAACTATTAAGAGGTTTCATATAATTACATTAAAGACAAGTTCAGTAACATACTCTTTGAGATGCTTTGTTTTCATTTATATAATGTCAAAGGTCTTTCTGATCTTTTCAGATACATTCCCTTAAGCAGGACAACACCCTCAAAGATCTCGGTAACCTTACAGCAAACATCTACACCAAAGAAAACATTGAGGATCAAAGGTAGGAGATTGTTCTTCACATACCTTTCAGCTTAAGCAAATAACAGATGTCCATGCCAGCTAATGGAGTTACACACACACACACACACACACACACACACACACACACAAATAGAGGGTTTCAAACAGTGTTTGCGTTTGTTTGAAAGCACGCCCTGGCAGGTGGAAGACTCCTTTACAACAGAGGATAAGGAGCTACACACACAGCTATACAAGAAAATCACACTGAATAAGGTAATTTCTTATACACCAGTGAGCCAAAACATTATGACCACTCACAGATGAGGCAGACAGTGTTGATTATCTCCTAACAACAGCGCATTTCAAGGTCAGTGATCAGTCTGTTCTTGGAGTCATCATGTTGGATGCCAGAGAAATGGACAGGTGTAAAGGCCTGAGCTACACAAGGGGCCAGATTGTTATGGCCAGATGACTGTCAGGGCACCTCTGGAAAGGCAAGATGTGTGTGGTCACTGCTGACAAGGAGCACGAGGAGCTGCTGGACCGAAGGGGGACAAACCATGAAGTCTGCCCAAGTCTGATCTGAACAAAGAGAAGGGCTACTGTGGCTCAAGTTACAGAAAATTTTAATGATGGTTATAAGAAGAACATGTCACAACACACATCACACACTGCTGCATATGGGGCTGTGTAGCCACAGCTCATGCTGGTCATAATGTTTTAGCTCCTCAGTGTATTATTTAAAAATGCGGGTAATATATCAGAGCAACATCTGGTTAGATATTAAAACTTGTATCACTTGTAGTGTTAACCAGTATAAAGGGCAGAAACTGTACAAACTGTAAACACTGAAGTCCTGTCACTGCTGATGTTTATACTTTGGACTGCAGGAGTGTCCTGATTATCAAGAAACAGTCAGGACTCTGTTGACCACCCAAGAGGAGTGTGAGTCACTTAAGGAGGAGATCTGTGAAACCCTAAAATGCATTGACAAAGAGCGGAGGTAATGGACCCATATTGTCGCGACCAGCTGAAAAATCTCTCTCTGATATTCAGATTGTTCAGAACTATAGTGTTTAGCTTCCTTTGGTCCTAGTAAAATCAGCATTTTATTCAGAACTGATAATTTACTTTTGTGTGTTTATAGTAAATACCATGAGACGAAGGAAAAACACAAGGCCAAACTGTGTCGAGCAAAACAGAAATTTGATGATGAAACCACACAGCGTGATGAGAAGATTAAAAGTCTAGAGCGAGAACTGTCCTTGTGTTCCCATTCCTTAGCAAAGGTAAATCTGTGGCTTTGCCTTAATTTACACAAAAGACATTAAAAGTTGTGGTAACTGAATTTTATTAATACTGAATGTGCTTTGGATTAGTGCAGTTTGAATCTCATTTGTAAAAATTCTATTTATAATTGTTCTCTAAATAAGATGAGGATTATTCATTTGATGAATTTCAATATCAGTATTTATTCCCACCATGTTAATATAGTTGTTTTTTTGCTCAGTAAAAAACAGGATTACTGGTATTTTTTCCCGTCTCTAGCTGCAGTAAGTTTGGGTGATCAGGGCAACAGGCTGTCAGGTGATTGTGCTAAATTTGCAGAGCAAATATATTTCCCATATTGACTCAAGCCTCACTTTATAGGGTGTTAAAGTCTTAAAGTAAACAAGTAAATAAAGAAAATGGGATTAAAGCTGGATGACAAATGATCTGTGTAACTGACATTGTTCTTTTCCAGGAGAAAGAGCTTGTGATAAGTATAACTAGGGAAAATGATAAACTACTTGTTGAGAGGAGAAGGTTACTGCAGCAGCTCAGCGAGGAAGAGCACAACAAGGAAGAGAGTCATCTAACAGCTTCTTTGTCCAAATGCAGGTACTGGACTCAAGAGTCTTCACTGCACGAGTCAGCACGTTCAAACAAATAGCAGTCAAGTCAAGGATCTTTATTGTCATTATGCACAGCACAATGAAATTTTTTTCCGGCAGCTCTCGGCTTAAAAGACACATTATTATAGCAGCAGTAGTTTCCAGAGCTGATCAGTTAATCCTTGTACATTTACAATGTTTGCTTGGAGGGTGGATTTTCTGGAGATGGAAAACAAGAAACTGGTGAACAAAACACTCCACATGTCCAATCAGCTGGCCGTCCTAGATCGAACTCTGCAGAACATGCAGTCACTTCACTTTGCTGAGGTAATAGACACTGTTGTTCCTGCTTCATCTTTACATACAAGGCTACGATCTGGATTTGCCATCTTTATTTTTGTCGTCTGGCTGTTGTAAGCTACTAACAGTGGACACAACTAAAGTCTGTAGTGTCCCTCAGGCTGAGCTGTACTTTGTCCGCTGACAAGCTTGAGCTGTATGATGTCAGCATCAGAATGTTTTGTCAAGATGTTTGACTTTAGTTCAGAGTGTTTGTCAAATACTGACAGATAGCAAAAGTTGTTTTATTTTGAAATTGTATAGTATTTATCTAACAAAGTTGTTTAATTAGGAACTGAAGAAAATATATCCTCAGCGGCCCTCTGCATCTCCATCTGTGCAAACTTCAAGGTAGGTCTGATTACAACTCAGAAGTTGATCAGAAGTGTTTTGGAAAATAAAACATTAAATGTCTGTGAACTTTGTGTCCCTAGTGTGATGGTGACTGAGCCTTCTAAAATTCAGACTTTACTGGATGATACTGAAAGTGATCACACCAAGCAGACGGTCATGACTTTGTCCCCTCGCTGTTTAATCTCTGTGGCTCTGTCTCGGTCAGCAGAAATGGGCTACCTGAACCTGACCTCCACTCAGAACTGCTCAGACACCTCAGGTGCCCTCAACAGCTCAGAAAGTGTGTGAAGTTTTATGTATATCTGCAACATTAGATTTATGTAATATTGTACAGAAACAATTTTATGTATAATTAAATGAATTGAACTATTTAATTTCGCTCTCAGGTTCATGTTCATTTACATTTTGAAGTTTACACTGAGCTCTCTCAATGTGAACCTAAGCAACAGCTCTGACCTTTAAAATAGTTTGAATAAGTGACAATTAATATACAACCTGGTCCATGCACAGACTTGAAACTTGCCAAAAGGCCAAAACCGGATGTAACGAATTTTCCCTTTAAGCTGGCAAACAATTCACAGACTTCAACTGTCAGTTCAAGCCACTGTTGTTTTTTTTTGCACCAACATGTTTCATACAACACTATGGGGACAAATCTGATGTTGCAACCAGTACATGCTGCAACATCCATTGATTAAAATGAACCTTTGTAGAAAAATCCACAAAATGTGATTTTTTTTTTTTATTGAGATCACATCAGTGACACTTGGCCTTTATTTCAAACTGTTGTGCATAAACAATTGTTCTAAGTAAAATTGGCAAAGCTTAGGATCTTGTGTATCCAACTCTACTGCTCCACATCTTAAATACCATATAATGAAACAGCATTTTTTATACCAGGGAGTCTGACCTCATGGACAATGAAAGGCTTAAAAAGAAAAAAAAAAAAAAAAACTCGTCCCCCAAGGTTGATTAACTTCTCAGTCTTCACTTGTTTTAACAATTTTCTTATTAATACTACAGTTGAACCGTTTTAAAAGCATTTATTCTTATAAACACAAAATATCTCAGGGACAAGGTGTTTTTTTGTACATTTATTTCTCTTCAAGTGTAATTTTTTTTTTTTATACATTACATCCACCAGTTTTACAGTAAATACCTAAAAAAATTGCTATTGTCTTTTGACTCAAGAAAAAGCACCATGGAATAATGATGCTTATACTTCTGTTTAAAAAGTTAGCTTAGAAAGCCTATCATCTGTAAGATTGACTGGAATCATAATCACCAGACTGAATTTAACCTGCTCTAAATGAAACCAAAAAGCGTGGTTTAGACCCATATTAAAAAAAATGAACAAAACTGTTTAAACTTGAAGCTATATACACACACACACACACACACACACACACACACCCCAACAGAAATGAGCAATCAGAAAATTACCAAAAAACCCAAATGCACCAAAATTGAAACTAATGAGGTGATGTTCAGCAGCCATGATATCATTCTAACAGCAAAGGCAAAGTAAAACAAAAATACAACTTTTCATTGTTGATCACACTTGTAGAATCTGTCAGTGCAATCAGAGCTGAGTTGTTGTGCAAATCACATTGTACTGTGTGTGTTGTACAGGGTTTTCAGCTCACTGCCTTCTACCTACATTTTTCAGAATACAAAAGTAGGAAACTAAAGAAACCCGAGGTAGCTGATCCTGAAATGAGTCCATCATCTCAAACAAAGGCATAAGGTGGTTTCACATTTCAAGTTGCAGTATGATCAAACTGGGTACATTCTGTGTGACACATTTGAGAAACAAAGGAAACCTGTATCTTATGGTAAATGTAGTTCCTGTTAACCCTGGTAAATGAATGAACCAAAGGTGAAACGTCATTGATAGAAAGCTGCTCCACTGTTAGAGACAAATGCATAGATTTACCTGGTTTCTGGAGAAAGTCTTGACAGTCAGAGATGTTGTGAATCCATTAGGAAAATCTACGCTTGCAGACGTGGATATAAATCCCTTGGGAGAACAAATCAGCCACCGAGCAGGAGAATCTCAGTGCATGTTATTTGTCAGATAGTTTTGCTGCCAGGTGATTTTGCATTGCAATATCTAAACCACACTAGAATGTCCGTAGCGTGTCATAATATTTTGGTGCCCATAGTAGCCGGGTGACTTGTATGTCTCTGCTGTAGCCAATGCTGTTGTCCCAGCAGTACTCAGGGGAGAGCACCCTGCTCGGTTTGTGAAGCCACAGGTACTTGTTTAGATGACTCTCATCATGCCACAAGGCCTCCACGTTATTCTTTTTATCCTCCATTATGTTCTGGTAGCAAGTCTCGGTCAACGCTTTCACACTTTTCCATGAGCCTCCAAACACAGCAGCATGGTAGTAGAAATCCCCAGTCTCCATGTACGCTGTGGACTTTGGGTTGCGGTCATAAGTAAAGAGATTCTTTGGAAGGTGGTAGAAGTGAGCATGAAGCAGAGCCACAGTGTCTCCCAGAGCCTCCGACCCAAATCTCCCACTAAACACCTGGTCCACATCGAAGCAGAAGACATATGTGCAGTGGTGGCGAATATCTTCCTCAATGACTTCCGATATGGTCTTCATTCGCATCATTGAGATGTCCTGCCACCTGGAGTGCCTCTCCACTTTGATCACCTTCAGACTTCGCTGAGGAGCCAGCTTGATGTCCGGCACCTTTTCTGGTATGTCCGTAAATACATAATATGTCACTGGCAAAGCCAACATAAAGTGATGTTCTGATGAGTTCAGGAAGCTCTCGAGGTAAACATCCAGGTACCTTTGATAGAAGAAGAGATGAGAGCACTTTTATTTTTTAAATCCCTATATTCGCACACATACAATAAATGCACTAAATAAAAGGATATTCACTGCAGGAGACTAGATGTGTGAAATCAGACATAGTGTTTCCATGAAAACTAACCTGCCCACAGCAAACACAATTAGAGCCACAGAGGATCCTTCTTCCTTGTGCTCCTTGTCATACAGATAAGGGTCAAACATCCCCTCCCAGATGATGGGAGCTTTCCAAGATGTGCAAGTTTGCACATCAGGTCTGGACCTGAAATACAAAACAACCATTTAAAGTTTAAAAACTTTTTAGACTATTTTTGGTTCCACAAGAATTTCTTTATATACTGTATATCTATATCTGTCTATCAGCAACTACCAAAGTACCTACAGAGAGTACTGTATACTAAACGGAAGGAAGGAGGCCGAGGATTAGTGAGTGTCAGAGCCACTATCCAGGATGAAAAAGATCCATGAATACATCAGGAAGATGGCCCCGTTCGATGACGTGCTTAGTGAATACCTCAGGCAGCAGAAACCAGAGGAACAAGGGAAGGAAGAGCAGGAACCCTCATGGAAGGACAAACCTCTCCACAGTATATACCACCGTGAAATAGTAGAAGTGGCTGATATTGAAAAATCCTACCAGTGGCTGGACAAAGCTGGACTGAAAGACAGCACAGAGGCACTAATCCTGGCAGCACAAGAACAGGCTCTAAATACATGATCAATTGAGGCCGGGGTCTACCATACCAGACAGGACCCCAGGTGCAGGCTGTGCAAAGATGCCCCTGAGACAATCCAGCATATAACAGCAGGGTTCAAGATGCTAGCAGGCAGGGCATACATGGAACGCCATAACCAAGTGGCTGGCATAGTGTACAGAAACATCTGTGCCGAGTAGAGGCTGGAAGTCCCAAAGTCAAAATGGGATACGCCAGCAAAGGTGGTTGAAAATGACCAAGCGAAGATCCTGTGGGGCTTCAAGATACAAACTGACAAACTGGTAATGGCCAACCAACCGGACATAGTAGTGGTGGACAAACAGAAGAAGAGGGCTGTAGTGATAGATGTAGCAATCCCAAGCGATAGCAACGTCAGGAGGAAGGAACACGAGAAGCTCGAGAAATACCAAGGGCTGACAGAAGAGCTTGAAAAGATGTGGAAGGCACAAGTGGTCCCCGTGGTAATAGGAACAATGGGGGCTGTGACCCCCAAACTGGGAGAGTGACTCCAACAGATCCCAGGAACAACATCTGAGATCTCTGTCCAGGAGAGTGCAGTCCTAGGAACAGCTAAGATACTGTGCAGGACCCTCAAGCTCCCAGGCCTCTGGTAGAGGACCCGAGCTTGAAGGAAGGAATACAAGACCGCCCCAAAGTTGGGAATTTTCATACATACACACACAATACATTATAT